GTAATCGACGTGTAATTATTGCCCTAAATTTTGACTAACACGTAGTCTAGATACACTTTATTTATTTACAGGTTTCTTTATTCTTGATAAATTCTATGTGCAAATCCTTCAAGTTCATTATTAAATTAAATAATTACACCAATAGTTGCGATAATCCATCAATTGAATCTACACCACCATGGAAAACCTTGAAGCAATGGATGGCCATTTCATACTACTGTGGGACTACTCATCAGTGTGCATCCATGATCCCACCCTCCGCGAGATTCGAACACAGGACCTATAAGTCTCAGGTGCGAACACTTAACCACCAGACCACTGAACGAGACAGCTTCCAATGGTGTTAATTTTTAACTTCAACTAATCCACAAAATTGAGTGACATATCTACCATTGTCATCAGTGAATTACTATCTTACAACAGATTCTTTTGAACTCCATTGTTCACTACTTCTCACTAGAACTCCAGGAAACACCTCTTGAATCCAGTCACTAGTGAGCATATGTTGATTAATATCAGGTGTTTTATGGAGATTGTAGTAATTTCAACTATCGAAATTCCTTAAATCTCCACAAAACCCCTTCTGATAAGGAACATTAGTTATTCATTTTTCTTACTTTAAATCGCATTAATATTTATCAAATTTTTTTTTATTTCTTATTAATTACATTCCACTTCATTAGAAACACAGCAACAATACTTATTAGATTTCTCTTCATGATTTTAATTTTAAGCGGTAGGTTATAAATGACATTGACATCTCTTTAAATAAATATGATAAAAAAAACTGTTTGACATGTGAAAGTTAATTAATTAGTTTGTTACTTAGTTTAAAGACAAGACAATTAGTATATATATAAAGAGAGAGAGGGGGGAGGGAAGAGGGAGAGGGAGAGATGAAGAAGTTCATACATTGCACAACCCCTATGAATCAATCTTAACACAAAGTAATTATTCGGTTGGTCATTGGTTAGTTGTCAAACCATGTGAATCATTTTAGTTAAACAAACAATTATATCAAAAATTGTTATTCTTATAAATAATATGAAATTATTCTAATATGATTATATTTCATACAGATTAATTTATGTATATAAATAGATTCATCAATATAATTGGGGAAATTCTTAAGGAAATTTCTTTTGTATTTCACATTTTAGTTAATTCTAATATTAGAGAGTACAAAGAGAATATAAAAATATAACATTTATAATGATTCATTGTAAATGTGTAATGTCCGTTACTATGTTAAGCCCATATAACTTATTCTATCCATTCTTCTTGAATCACATTCTAACCTTGTTAATTATTCATTTATCAACCCTGACTGTTTTTATATTAGCTTATATGTATGTACACTTCTTATTCTATTCATCAAATGTCTGTAACTTATTTTGTATGACTATAAACATTAATTAACACTTAGTTAAATGGAGTCGGCTCACACACTGTCACGTCACTACATGTCATTTCACTCCGCTCTATTCTCTTCGTTTCTCCAATCTTTTGTTTCGATCAACGATTGTATGAAATATACATATTCGAAATTCATCCTCTTATTTGATTTATTTAATTCCGTTATACACTAACGTGATTTAAGTCGATAATCATATACGAGGATAGCCAACATGGGTATTTCGTCAGCAATCATTCAATAATGATGATTTGTCCGATCTCACTGGAATCACATATAAGACCACTAAAAATTAAGCATATGTAACCTTTTAAAAGACTTAGATTCATTAGTGAATAGTTTTGAAATAGTTCTCCTGAAGATCTAGCGAGAACCTATCATCTATAGATTAAGTTAATTCAATATTAAGATAATGAATCATTAAGTGAAGATCACAATATGTCATAGGTTAAAAGAAGTTAAAAATATTCACCAACTTAAATAGGTTAGATTCACTCCTGAATATAAGTTTAAGTGTACAAATTTTGAAGACTATCATACCAGAACAAATTGATTATACATAAATTGCTAACTTTTATTGTACACAAACTATTCATTATTAATAAATGCCCCCCAATACCCTGGTACGGCCGAGAGTGAGAAGAGTCCGCTCTCTCTCCCTCAAGATGCTCTCATATAGCCACGTCCTTCTCATTGCCTTCTCGTGGCAAGGATGTTGTTTAAGAAATTCAATGGACGAAATGTCAATGTCTGGCACTTGAATCGGGTTGATGGATATGAAGGATCTATGTATGGGAGTCGGAAAACCATGAGTCGAAACCAATGGTGCACGTAGGCTCCAGGATCTTAAGAGAACAAATGGTATATAAACCTATTGTTGGGCTCAAATTGCCATGGGACTGTATCTTCTAACGTTGCTCCACAACATTGTAGATCAGACCTTTAGGTCAAATGTACCGAGTGTGGCCTCCTAAAAAACTCACCCACTTCGGTTTGGGCACCTGTGCAGTATCTTAGCCTTCACATAAATCGAACAATTTATGTTATCCATATCTATTTGGTACCTCCTTGTACCAATGTTTATATGTTCAAATAACTATTTTTAATAACTAAATAAATATATCTACTAAATTTTATGAATAATTGACCTTTCTCTTAATAATAATAAATCAATATAAATTTGGATATAATTACTTGTTTTCAATTTGATTTTCACATCCTTATTCATATTTAATCATTTAAATGTTTACAATATACACTGTGTTCCGATCTATATTAAATTAAACCTTTTTATAGTTGATATGGAATATAGATTGATATACTATTTATGAATAAAATGATAGACAATTTAAAAAACCTATTGGGTGGTCATCAATAATTAATCTAACTTTTCATTTTATTTCCTTTTTTTTTTTCAGTTTAAACAAATTTTCATTCGTTTTAATTCAATTATAAACACTGATTATTTAAATGTTAACTGATAATAGAGCCTGAGGATAAAAATAACTATTTTTTTTTTCATTCTTATAAATGTAACCCAAATTATTGTTTCTAAGGTTAAACTTTTTCTTTAAATTATCTTTACAGTGAAAAGGGACGGTGGGGGTTAATTAGTTTAAATTGTTATTTTTTCTATTTTCCTTTTTTTAAAAAAAAGAAAAGAAAAACAAGTCAAACAGGATTGTCTAAGAAATTTAATTTTAAGCTAAATTGTTTGTTTTTTTCAATATTATAATTTAAACAAGTATATAATGAATTGGTCGGCCTATGCTACTCCACGAGGAGTAACAGGCTTATACAATGAATACTTACTCATATGTAAATGTACACAAGTGTATAGAGTGAGCATTTAGTTAATCATAAATTTTTTCCAGATATACATACATATGGGTATGATTTTAAATGTATTTGTTTGATATCTTAGGATCTTTACAAAAATATCATTTTTTCAACACCTGATAATTATGATCACAAACAATTATAAACTCCCCGAATCCATCGCATTCATATGTATGATTATCAGTTCAACTCCTTATGTTGAGCTAGTCACATAGTTTGCACACTTCAGTTAATATGTTGTGTCCTATGAGAATTTTTCGAGCAAATAGTGGTTACTCATGACTGACAGCTCTGCTCTTCTTCGTATGATTGACTTAGTATACTGAACAAACATGAAATTTATGTATAAAATTATATACGTAGTTGAAAAGTAGTCGAAAGGGAATATGAGTTTCTTCGTCACCATTCGTTTGTCCATTGTTAAGTGACGTGCAATCTATCTGAGCTATCAATTGCCTTATTCTAAAATACGTAGTTAATTTTGTTCACATAACCACCCTATAAATAACTTTTAAAATTACATTAAGATATAAGCAATCCTACCCAAAAAGAACACAGATCAAAAAACCTGCACCATCCAAAAACGTTGGCAATTTACCATTTCAAGCTTGATCTGTGCGTTCACAAACACCATGTTCAAAACATCATTTTATTTTGTTATTAAGAAATATTGTTGGGAAGTCCTATATATGAAAATATTTTTGATCATAATTTAGATGATGCTGTACATATCTGCGTGATTGTAGACTTATGTGCTAAGTAACTATAAATAAAACTATACAGATTTATTAATGTGTGCTAAGTTTCTTGATTAAATTGTCTTCATTGCAAATCAAGTGAATAATTTATTATATATGCATTTTCACAAATTAAGACAGAACATTTGTTAAATCTTGTCACACTCAAGCGTCCTTTCAATTCATAAAAATTCATAACACAAAGCATTCTCGTTGGTTATCAACCGTTCATCATTCACTTAATTAGTTTGACATGTTTTATTAAGTCAACAAACATTTGTAAAATAAATTAACACTTGACAAATTAACTTAATTAAAACAGTCTCATTAATAAGTTCAGACAATACAGTAAGACGATGAAGTTTATCCGAACTATGTAATATATTACTCTAGTTTGTCCTGTAGTTCTGGTGAACTTAGTCTTCTTATTGTATTTTCTAAATGTTTAACAAATAGTGAATAGTAGTTATATATATATATATATATATATATATATATATATATATATATATATATATATATATATATGCAATCACTGCCAGACAACCCCTACTCATTTTCTTCTCGTGGTGGTGAGGGTTGTTTACGAAATTGAGAGAACCAAAAGCAAATGTCTGACACTTTAATGGCCTTTGTGGATGCAGAAGATTTACCTAAGGGAGTTGGAAAACCCTGATTCCAAACCGATATTTTACATGGGTTCCAGGATCCTTAAGGAACAAGTGGTATATGAACCTATTGTTAGTCACTAGCTACCATGAGACTGCATCGCCTGATGTTGTCCCACTGTCTTGTGGATTAGACCTTTAAGCCGAAGGCTCCGGTTGTGGCCCCCCTAAAGGAACCACCTGCTTTGGTTTAGGAACCCGTGCAGTATTACAGCTCAAATACAAATCCACTAACTTGTGTGGCGTATATGTATTCAGTTCCTCCTTGTATCAATATTTATATGTTCAAATATATATATAATAAAATTAAATGAATTACTCAGTAATTTCAATATAACTTACTATAAACTATTTGAATGTTAAATTCTCCCAGAATTAATAATATAAACAAAGAAGTAACATGAGAATATGTTATTAAACTGTACATAATTGTCTTTTTTTTCTTCTTCCTGTTATTACAGTTGGATATAATATGACAATAATAATAGACAATAGTCTTAGTTTAATGAATCATTAATTATTATTTCATAAATATCCAAGACATTCATTCATGTTTATTCTAGATTCATTAACTAGTAAATTAATTATACAATTGAGTTTGTTTGTTTGTTTTTACTTTGAAAGAATGTACATTTATGAAAACAGTTTTTCTCCATATAAGATTAACAATTCAATTGAACATTAACCTCTAAAAAAAATTTTCAAAAATATACATGTTTTGATAAAATCAACCAATAAGAATTCAATGAGAAATGAACCAATCAGGAATTTACGACATGGTCTCTTTTTTTGTTTTTGTTTGTATAAACAATGATACAATAATGAGTGACTTGTTAACAAGAAGTTAAAGTAAATTAAGGTAACTTGTCATTTTGAGTAATTGAAATTATAAAAGATTCAAAATACAAGAAAGAAAAACAAAAAACAATTTCTAATAGATTCTGATAAAAAGTTAATAATGACAGCTTTTTTATTGTTAATACTTACTTACTTACTTACACCTGTTACTCATCGTGAAGGAGCATAGGCCGCCCATCAGCATTCTCCATCCAACACTGTCCTGGGAAACCCTTTTCAGCTCTTTCCAGTTGTTATTCATCCTTTTCATATCTACTTCTATTTCCCAACGTAATGTGTTCTTTAGCCTTCCTCTTTTCCGCTTCCCTTCAGGATTCCAAGTTAGGGCTTGTCTCCTGATGCAGTTTGATGATTTGCGTAATGTATGTCCTATCCATTTCCATCGTCTTTTTCTAATTTCTTCTTCAGCTGGAAGCTGGTTTGTTCTCTCCCACAGTAGGTTGTTACTGATGGTATCCGCCCAATGGATGTTGAGTATCTTGCGAATACAACTATTTATAAATACTTGTACATGTTTGATGATGGTTGTAGTAGTTCTCCAAGTTTCAGCTCCGTACAGTAGAACTGCCTTGACGTTGGTATTGAAGATTCTCACTTTGATATTGGTTGAAAGTTGTTTTGAGTTCCATATGTTCTTCAATTGTAGGAATGCGACCCTTGCTTTGCCAATCCTTACCTTTACGTCTGCATCTGAACCTCCTTGTTCATCGATGATGCTTCCTTTTATTGTTAATAGACTATGTATAAATCAAAATAATTTGAATATATATCGCTTTATAATAAAATGTATTTACATTAATTACTACCTTCAAATGTGAATTTCCCAAAAAGTTCTTTAGAGAAATGACTAACTGCAATGAATAATAAGTCTTATATGATTGTATTGAGTAAAAGTTGTATGAAATATAGATTGCTAGATTCTGGTTTAGTGTTACAAAAGCATAAAAATCACAAAGTAAGCAGAAAATAGTTGGTTTTATTACCTATAAGGTTATTAGGGTGCGTTTTTAAAGGTAATCAGGCTTAGATAATAAAGACATGCCTTATATCAATTAATGATGAAAGATGAATTTCCTAATTGATATAAGTGATGCAAGCCACTCTCTACTCAGGTAGATTCTATTCCCAAATAAAAGGAGATCACTATGACGATAAACTTCACTAAGTTTAATCATAAAGAAGTATCCTAAACATATTTTATAAAATGTATGTTAGGTTTAACTATCATTCTGTCAATGTAGCAATTTTTATACAAGAAAATGAATGAACATCTAGGCCTTTACGCATCTTCAAGTCTATAGATAAGTAAAGAATGCTCAATGTACAGAACTGTGAATGAAAATAGCATTTGAGAATTAAAATTAACATGTATTGTTATTTCTAATTATGCACAATCACTTATTTATATATTTACGCAACAAAACTGAACACATACTGAAATAAATCTTTTGACTGACAAATTTTTAGTCATCGAAATTGTTGTGATAATTATATGCAGAGATGATCGGTAGCTATCGGTGGAATCCAAGACTCACGTTTCGTCCTGTTCAGGAAACGTCAGCTGGATAAACCTGCATCTCACAGTTGATGTTCACTCTAGGATTTGAACCCAGTACCGTTCGCTTCAAACGTTATCGCGTTATCCATTTACCTATTGAGTCTAGATAGCCACTAGCTTGTGCAATAAAGTGAGGCTTTTATATCACATTTTATTTGTTGTATCAGTCTTCATATAGATATTTAGGACTGCACAAACTAGTGGCTATCAGGACTAAGGGGCTCAGTGGATAACGCGATGACTTTTGAAGCGAACGGTATTGGGTTCAAATACCAGAGTGAACATCAACTCTGAGATTCAGGTATATTTAGTTGACGAGTCCTGAATAGGACGAAACGTGCGTCCTGGATTTTACTGCTAATTACCACCCAACTTTGCTTATAATGTCTGTTATTTAATGCAATAGTGGGGTAATCAGCATAAGATCAACATATGCTAAACATCAATATGAAAATTCAAATAAACCATTACAAAATGTTGTAATAATTATCAATTGATAGTTATGAAAAGAATTGGAATGGGGTAGAAACAATTATGATTTGTCATTTATTTTAATTTTATCATTTCTACTCCTTTCCAATGAATCTCATACCTAAATTATACTTATTGTATTATCACTTGAGTACTTTTTATAACGATAGAATCAGGTGTATATATATAAACATTTTTAATTAAATTAGACAATAGCCTATTCCAAGGTTTCTTCAAAATAAGAAGGTAGATTACATTTAAATTGAATTTCTAAACGGAAGTAAATAATAACTCTTCAGCGGAGCTTCATTTTCTGATTTCTGTCAATTGACATTTCTGGAAAAAAAATCTTTCTACCATTTCAGTGGTCAATGAACATTATAAATATAATTCGCTATGGTGTTTAAAGTATCACTAAATAATCCTCCTTTGTGTGTTATAACTTGAAGAACAATGATTACTGCATCTAATTAATTCGTAATTCGACTGAATATCCCGGTACAAAAAAAACAACCGATAATCAAACATTAAAATTACATGAAATCACATTGTATTAATTTCATATAGTAATGAACATGATATTTTATATTATAAAGGATTTTTCAGTCTATGTGTATGTTTATGACTACAGTAGCTAAATGTTAAAGTGAAATAATAAAACTTATATTTTTTATGCCTGGAGTCCGCCTGGAGTCCCTCCAGGGGCTACTGCCGGTCCCAAGCCCGGATAAAGGAGGAGGGTTGGGCATGGGGTTAGTGTCCCCATCCCGTAGAAAACTAACTCGCTAAAAAAACACTAACCAGAAAAAATTATTCGAACCTATATTTTTATGCATCAATTGATTTGGATCACTCGTTATTATTAGTAATATGGATATCTCAATTTTTGATTCATATTAAAGTTTGTTCAATTTATAAGTCATAATTTATTTCCTCTTCAATGTAATATCTTTTTAAGGTGGTATTCGTGACTGATTATCTTAATTCAGAGTATCATTCAAAACTACAGAGTTGTAGATAGCTTATTCTTCCTAATATTTGGTTTATTTAATAGTTCTCACCAACAATCCGAAAAGCGACTAAACTCAGGACCTCCAGGTCTAGCGACGTGACGATAACTCTGATCATTTCAGTGGTATTCCAAAGTACTACAAATTTTTTTGTAATGTTCTACTATGTGTACTGAGTAAGTTGTTTCACTGTCTTTCAGTTCCTTTGATAACTATTCTTTGTAGTGAAAATTATCTGTGAGCCAGTTTAACGTCGATTTCTTCAGAAAGTTTAATACAAAATTAGATTTTTACATTATTTTGTATCCCCATTTTGTTTTTCCGCTAACTTATCCGTGTTCTAGTTACTGCTTGTTTGGTTTATGTTTCCTTCTTTTGTACACCGTGTCTCATACGCCGTTCTTTAAACTCCATAAGCAAACAACATACGTTAAGGGTAGACGTGGATTTATAAAGGTTATACGTTACAATGTGTCGAGGATTCATTTTCAGACTAGTGATAGATGATTTTTGTGCCCTTTTTCTCCCCATTGGTTCTGTATCAGATATGCAGGGAGATTTGCCTCTGAACTAGTTAGTGGCGTTGATGAGTCAAACAAATTAATATAACCTTTACACTGTGAATGCATGAATTCGACTGGTGATTGATCAAATTTCAGCTCAGAAAAATATCCTATTCGCCATCTAATGACCTGTTACACTGTCAGTAATTGGTTGAGAAGAGAAAAGACAAAACGCTCTACCAAAAGGAAGTATATCCGGTAACTAGAACTCAAAACGGCGCATAACGAAACACATAAATAACTGAATCATAAATCACAATAAAGAAAAAAATATAATCTACGCCAAGCCAAGCCATTTACGGATTAGAAGAAAGCTTATGATTAATGGAATTTAATTGCAGATTATGTAATAAGCAAACTAACGTTCAAAAAGTGGCTTTCATAGTATGTCATTTCTTCATAAATCTTGTCTTCTCAACAGATATGTTAGAACAAACAGGTTTACCACTGTACCAAGTTACATAACGAGCTAATAACTCGTCCATAATCATAACTTGACTTTAATTCACTTTTTTTTAAATCAATCGGCAATTCAATGCATGCAGTAAAGCTTCATTCCAAAAATTTTCAATTCATATTTCTGAAATGGACGAACACAATTTATTACTTCTCTCATTCGTTCAAATATCTAAAAAATATACTTTTCAGTGGTTTTGTAATTTCTCAATCTTTTGTTCCGAAAGAATCGTGACAGGTACCTACCTCAGTACAACGGAAGATGGTCGCTCAATTTCGTGGATTAGTTGAAGTTAGACAACAACACCATTGGATGCCGGCTCAGTGGTCTAATAGTTAAGCGCTCGTGAGCAAGACTGATAGGTCCTGTGTTCGAATCTCGCAATATGGGATCATGGATAGGCACTGCTGAGGAAAAGTTATTAAGATTGTTAGTAATGCAGATAATAACAAGTTAAAGGTCAGCGAAAACCAATCAAAATCAAGGTCAGCAAGACAAGCTGATAGTTATATGTGAAGAAATTCCAATACATCTCTTATACTTGAAGTTTGTGCTAATAATATTGTTCAGAAGGATAATGAAAGTTTTACGACTAAATTATCCAACTCAGAAAATTAAACTCTACCACAATGGACTGGATTTATTATTTTTCCCACTGACAGTTATTATTTGTTTGATTCTGGAATCACCTAGTTTAGTTGAGTATTTTTTTGGATAGTAATATTGATGGAAAATATTCAA